TAATATGAATTTGGTTTTCACTCATAGGGGGGAGGGGTTTTGAGACAGGATTTCTCTGTGTCCTGGAACTTTCCCTGTAGGTCAGGCTGACCTTAAACCAAGAAAGCCTACTTACTGCCTCTACCTCCTGAATGCTGCGATTAAAGGTGTGTGCCACTACCACCCAGCTGGTTTTCAGTTTCAATTCTTAACAGCAATTTCCCAGAACACAAATGATATTTCACAACATCACCTCAGAAAACATGTTGAAATGCAACTGTTTTCTTTTTCATCAAAATAGCATGGAAAGAAGTCTTTTAAATTGTCTTTTGACCAGCACATCCTCGATAAATCCATTAAAGAATGTTGTCAACCTAAGTCTTTACTCCAGGCATCAGCCCGGAGTTCCAACGAACATATAGAAGAATCCAACAGCCATCCTAGAACACTGAAGGATCAGCTCCAGTTCATGTGCTGAAAACTTCCCACTTTTCAGCTGCTTGGTAAACCCTACTACAGAAGTGTTACTGCAAGCTGTGCAGTTCTAGTTCTTTCCATTTTGACCCAAATGGTACTTTGTGCCCTTTAAATAAAAATTGGGTTCTTGGATAGTTTATTTTTAATTCTTTGCTTTTAATTGACATGTAACTCCTCAGACATCATGATGACATTTTCAAACAAATTGAGTTTTTAAGGGTGTAGGATGTTTCATCCTTGTGCAGGGGCCATGCTGAGCTTCCTTCTATGGTTCCAGTTTTAGTCTGCACACTTCTGAAGTGAATAACTCTTAGATATTCTTATAGGTCAAAATTTAAATGATATGGAAGGGGAGGGAGAAAAATGTAACTCTCTTATCTGATACACTGATTAAAATATATAAATAAAATTTTAGCAGCCATTGTAAGCCTGTTGTGGTCCTACAAGTTGCTTGTCTTATTTGGTGAGGAAACAGAATCACTGGACTATCACTAATTATTTTTTTAGGTTTATTTATTGTATTTATGTGTATGTGTGTGAGCCTGTATGAATGTATGCATTACACATCTGTGGGAGCTGGCAGATGCCTGATCCCCTGGTACTGGAGTTCTAGGCTATTGTGAGCTGCCATGTGGGTACCGGGAACCAAACCTGACCAAACCCATGTCTGCTGGAATACCAGTAAGAGCTCTTAACCTCTGAGACACCTCTCCATCCCTTCTTAAGTCAATATCTTCACATCCTAACTCATCAGTCAGTCCCTACTGTGAAGCCTTACCCTGAACTCAACAGTCTAAGAATTTTCGAGTTCATTGTGGTCCCAGACTAATATTACTTGGCATTCTAAGATACCTGGTCACCTTGCCATGCCTCTTAATCTCTTCAAAATTGTGTGAAAAGATATCCAGGAACTTTTAATACACAATGGCTTATATGTTAGAGACCAATTCTCTCTCTCTCTCTCTCTCTCTCTCTCTCTCTCTCTCTCTCTCTCTCTGCACACACACACACAGGCACATGCATTTTTAGACTTACACTACTCTTTCTTCCCCATTTTCTTGTGTCTTTTTGAAAAATGTTTGTTTGGGGTTCTCAGACCAAATGGCAGCTGCCCCAGGCACAAGAGCTTAAGGAGAAAGGATGATTTGTGATTCTTGGAAACAAATCAAGAAAGAGGATAGTATTAGCTAATGAAGTGGAGTCTAGGGTACCCTCAGGGCACTCTTTGTCATCCATCTCTGCTTCTTTCTGCACTGAGACTCCTCTGTCTTAAGTTAGATGTCAGCAGAGGATAAAAGCTGACTATGAGCAGCACCAGTCCGCACTTATCACCTCTGATAAGAAGAAAGCAAACATTTCCCTAGCAGTTCTAGTTGGAAAAACATCCAAGAGAAGGCTATCTGACTTGAGATGGGTACCCATCCCTGTATAACCCTGTGTGGCCTGGGCTGGGAGATGATGGATGAATAGATTTACATCATGCACCCTCCACTGGGTGGCAGGATAGAGGGAAAATAAAATGAGAAAAGTAAGAGTCCTCTCTTTGCCAGGCAGCTGCCACTGGAAAGCATAGAGCTGGACTAAAGGAAGGGGTATCCCATTACTGGAATGGAGAAAGACGGCCCAATATCAATACCCTGTCAGCTAGTGGTCAAGTTAAAATATAATGAAATACTTAATGAGTCATTGATCCCAGGGATGCTTACACTTTAAATGTAGATTTTAAAAAATCAATGAACAGGAGGCCTTTATGATCTCAGAAACTACTATCCAAATGGGTTTTAGACTCCATAAGAGATGTAGTGAACAGTTTGAGGAAAGGTGTCTCTTCCAGCCTCTGTCAGTGATGGGGTGGCCACCCACAACAATGGCCTGCTTATTATAACAATTCCCACTGAGGGAAGGGAAAGTGTTGATTGTAAGTAGCAGCTCATGTCACTGGATTACCATGACACTACTTGCTGTTAGAGACATACCAATACTTACAAGCCTAACAGATTAATGGAATATTTCCAAATAAAACAGATATCTTTGCTACCCAAACATGCCATTCCCCCCCCCCCTTTGTTTGCTTCATTTTCTAAGCAATCAGGTCACCTTTCAGACCTTCTGATCAGAGAATGTTCCAGAATGTGAGGAATATCTTTAATCATATTTATGTTCTAATTGAGGGACAGTGAGATGCCAAACTGTTTTCCTTCTTTTAACACGAGTTTAGCTGAGAATAAAAACACCCTTGTTAAAAAGGAACCTAGCACAGCAGGAGTCTCACAGCCCTAGTCTTTGTTGGCTTTATTCTGTGCACATAGTCACAACCCAAAGCTTATTCCTTCTACCAGTTCCAGAGCCTGCCCCTGGAGTGCTTTGTTGACTTCCAGAGGTACTAGAGTTCTAGTGTACTAGGGTTTTCACAGTCTGAGGGAGGCTACTCTTTAGATCACAGTACATAAGAGTTGAACACTCTTACCCCTCTTTGATTTAGTGAGATAGACGTATTCAATTGGGGAAGGGGGTTAATGCAATTAAAATAACTGGCAGGAAAACTTAGGAAGGGAAAGTTTTGTTTTAGCTCTTGGTTTCTGAAGTCTCGGCTCATTTGGCTTTTCAGTTTCTGGACTGTGGTGAGAATATCATGGTTGTTTCAAGTCTGTTCATTGGATAGAAGACAGAAAGCCAAGTAAAGAAAGGAGTGGCCAGGCCAAGTCTGCCCTCAAAGTCACTCCCTTTGACCCAGTTTTCAAACCAGGCCCCTCCTTTTACCATTTCCACCCCCTCCAACAGTTTGTTCCAACTGGACTGCATCCATGGCTTAAGTCATTCATTCAGTTAGCATCCTGATATCTAACCCTCCCTCAAAATGCCCACAGGTGTGTGCCTTACCAATTTTCACCCAAGTTACTTTACAAAACATCTTCCCCACCCAGCCCTGTTGTTGATGGAATACAGTTACTTTTTAGCATATAAGGTCTAACCAGAATCTCTTTAACCATAATATGTATTTCAAGCTTGATTCCTTAAAGAGATGTACTCCTTTAGATTTTGCTCTCTTTTAATTTTTTAATTAATTTTTCTTATGATGCACAACTTGCCTGGCTCTGCTCCTCAAGTGACAGTTGAATCAACTCTCAAGCCATCTTTTAACTTTACTCCCATTTAAAGGATATTCTCACTGGGCATTGTTGGTGCATGCCTTTAATCCCAGTACTCAGGAGGCAGAGGCAGGTGGATCTCTGTGTGTTCGAGGCCAGCCTGGTCACAGAGTTCAAGACATCCAGGACTGTTATACAGAGAAACCCTATCTCAAAAAACAAACATCAACCAAACAAACAAAAGGACATTCTCTAGGTAATGCTAGTCTATCCCAATGCAGACATTTCTAGGATTCAATGTCTGCATAGAGCCAGCCACATTTCAGGGGAGGGGAAAACTTATAATAGAAGGAACATTTCCGTTTCCAACACTGGACAAGTTACCCCATGACTTTTGAAAGTCAAACTGTTGCTTTTCTTTCTGTATTCTTCTGAACATGGAGAGAAGTCACTTTGCCACCACCCCAGAGCTAAGTGAAAATATTTTGTGGTGAATCTTTTATTCCCAAGTGCTTCACACTAAACTTCCTCTCCAATGTTCCTCTGTCATTTTCAAGCATCTTCAAGATCAAATATCCTGTTGTAATTAGGACTTCCAGAACTATGGACTAAGAGCTGAAGAAAATGTCCCAAGGCTACATATGGCAATTCTCCAGTAGAGTTTATGCACTAAACCCCTCTGAAATGATTATACTGAATTTTATATAATCTGTTGGTTTAGCTTCAATTATAATCAAACAAATGACTGCTAGTTTAAAAAATCACCACTAAGGTATAATAACTACCAACCCTTTCAAGTCTACAAGTACATGCCAAAGAAAGAACACTGGACATAAATTAAACCTTAAATTTGGTTGAACTAAGAGCATTGAAAGAGAGGTCAGTACTGGCTGAGTTCCACCTTGAGTAACAGTCCAGTGTGTAGAGATGCTGAGCAATACCACTCTATCCTCATCCACAGCTTTTTAGAAGCTGTTGTTCTACAGACCAGAAAACAATGGCTTGGCTATAAGTCCTACAGACAACCCCTTTTTCTGAACACAGGATTTTACAAGTGAACCTAGAGTTGTGCAAAAAGTGACCAGGCCAACCCCAGAGCTCACTGTGTAAACCATTTGTGAATCTTTCAAAAAGTACTACTTTTTAAAGTGTCATTAGACAGCAAGGGGGTCACTCTAACGGCTACTGAGGACAAACAGGCAGCTTGCATATCCCTAGTGACTGCACAGGCTGTCTTTATCTTGACAAATAAATAAATAAATCAATAAATAACTTTGGGGAAAGCAAAAGATGATGATTTCTCATCTCCCAGCAGGCATCAGTCCCCCACATGTTTGCAGAAAATTCAAGCAATGCCACAGAATTTTTCTCAAACAGAAGCCCTCTGAAATGAGGTCATTTGTGCTTAGAGCAACAAAAGCCAGTACTGGACAGCAGAGAATCTGAGAAAACATAGGTGTGATGACCTCAAAGAAATGCTTCCCAGTACAGGCTTTCCAAGGGGTTAATAGGTGACATTAACCTATTAATAGGTGACTGATCAGTTGCCTCCTCTGTCCACTAAACTCATCCCCAAAGAGACCCACTGCACCCTAATGCCATAGCCTTCTCACTGATTTTCAAAGTCACTAGGAGACTTGGCACTGGCCCCTAGAGTCCCTAAGAAGCTGAGCAATCCCAAGATACAAGCCTTGCTCCACCAGCTGAAGGCTGCACAAATTAAGGCAGTGTTCCTTTTCAAAATGACACTTCAGAGACCTCCAGCCTGAAGAAGCACCAACATATAAACCAGACAAAGATGAGGGTTTTATTGGCTGCAAGTTACTGAAATGGAAATAAAACCACTTTGAAAGTGAAGCAATTTTTTGGCTGGCTTGGAGGCTGAACCATGGGTCTGGAAACTGCTCAGCTGGTTCCTCTGTGGGTGTTGGCCCTGTCTATGGCACACATAGGCTAGGAACCGGTTCCCAGGCTGTCTTGGCTCACAGTCTGTACTCACCATCTGTTCTTTTGGCCTGAGCAGAACAGCCTTCCCCTCCATTCTGTAATAGAGTACTATTTCCCTTTGGGGACCCCTGTCCTATTCTCTGTAGTTTTGTGGAACTGTCAGGCCAGGTGTCATTGCATGTAGGTTAGCCAATCACATGGGCTTTTCCTAGGACCTTGAATCTTGAACTCAGTTGACATGGGGAGATGGAAAAACACCAGAGCTAA